TAAGCCAGGGGTCCTCAAACTACGGCCCTCGGGCCATATGCAAATACAAATATTGTATTTGTTCCCGTTTTGTTTTTTTACTTCAAAATAAGATATGTGCAGTGTGCATAGGAATTTGTTCATAGTTTTTTTTTAAACTATAGTCCGGCCCTCCAACGGTCTGAGGGACAGTGAACTGGCCCCCTGTTTAAAAAGTTTGAGGACCCCTGTTCCAGGAGTTTTGCAATTTCAGGTCTTGAACTTGTTTTTACCTATTTTGAATTAATTTCTGTTAGATAAGGGTTCAATTTCATAAGTGGATGTTTTAACAATATTAAATCTCCCAATCCACGAATATGTCTCTCCATTTTATTTTTGTCTTTCATCAATGTTTAGCAGTTTCCCATGTACATTTCCTTAGTTAAGTCAAATATTTTATACCTTTTGATGCTATGGTAAATAGGATTATTTCCACCCTAGGTGGTTTGGCTCAGTGGACAGAGTGTTGGCCCTTGGACTGAAGGGTCCTGGGTTCAATTCTGGTCAAGGGCACGTACCTGGGTTGTGGGCTCAATCACTGTCCCTGGTCCAGGCTGGTGCAGGAGGCAACCAATCGATGTGTCTCTCTCACATCCATGTTTCTCTCTCTGTCTCTCCCCCTCCCTTCCACTCTCTCTAAAATTCAATGGAAAAATATGCTCCAGTGAGGATTAAATAAATAAATAGGATTATTTCCTTTACTTTTATTTTTAACTAGAGGCCCGATGCACAAAATTCGTGCAAGAGTAGGCCTTTGCAGCCACGGTGGCTGCCTCAATCCCTCCCTTGCAGCCACAGCGGCTGCCTCAATCCCGCAGCTGCAGCCCCAGCTTTGTCCAGGAGGTTGTCCGGAAGGACATCCAGACGGTCCTTCAGTTGATTTGCATATTACACTTTTATTATTATAGATAGATGATTGTTAATGTTTAGATACAACTGGTTTTCGTATGTTGATATTGTTTTCAGGAACTATACCGAATTCATTTATTAGTTCTAACAGTCTTTGTGAAGAGTTTTAAGATGTTTTTATGTACAAGAGCATGTCATCAGCAAACATGTTTCACATCGTTCTTTTCGAATGGATGGCTTTTATTTCTTTTCTTGCCTAATTGCAGCATTGTTCACAGCAGTAGTTATAAACTAATGGCAACCATTAGTGTCCATCCACTATAGGATGGCATAATCAGATCATAATCACTTTGCTAAAATCATACACTGGAATTCTAGTCAACAATAGAGGCAAAGGGTCTATAGCTACTGTGAATGACATAGATGAAGTCTCTCAAATTTGATACAGAATGGCAGAAGGGAGCTATAAAAGGAAGCAGGCAGTAAAATTTGGTTTATATAACTTCATATAAATTGGGAACCTATTAAGAAAAGCACTGAGATGATTATCACAAAGTCAGGATAATAACTATATCCATTGGGGAGGGAGTGGGTTGTGATTGGAAGGAATTCTAGAAGACTGGCAACAGTCTATTTCTTGACCTTGGTCCTGGTCACATGGGTGTTTGCCTTCATAAAGTATCTAAACTTGGCAGATAAAGTTGTATGTACTCCTCTATATCTCAGATTTGAAAAACACGTCCCCATCCCCCACTCCCCCCAAAAAAAGGAATCCAAAGAAAAACATGTGAAGTAGAAATTTTGATGAGGTTTGAATTGTTATGGATGAAAAACTTGATCTCCTAATCAAAGATCAGCAACTGTACATTATCATTAAAAGAGAGGGGAAGCAGGGATTCTTTCAACTCTAGGTACCCCATAATCAAATCATGTCTCTAAACCTCTCTCTTGCCAGATATTTCACCCTCTGTTTATATCGATTCCCAACTCACTGATGACAAATTGGGGGATCATCATCATCAATGATAAGATCATGAGACAGCACAGGCCAAATGCATTACAGTGAGACCGGGCCACTACAACTAAATGCAAGCAGGTGCTGGTGGTGGAGGTGAGGGTGGGGTGTATGGCACACGGCCATCTGTGCCTTCTTCTCAGGAGACTTCACTGCAGTGACTTAGGGTTTCACCTTATCACATTCAACAGCTACTCCTGCTGGGAGACCCCCCTATGCTAGAGAATCTAGAGTAAGCTGGGGACTGCCTTATTCTCATGTGAGACTGCACATGACATTGACAATGGCAGAAGCAATGGTGGGAGTGTAGAGTGGGTTGGTTTAGCTTGGGCACTGTACAGGGAGAACCTGGAGTGGGTTGGGTTTGGCAGAGTTCAGTGTAGATGGCTTCATCCTCCAGGCTTTGCATTTCAAGGCTAAAGTGCTAATCTCTTTTGGCCCCATCTCTTACTGGTTCTAAACTCTGCGCCAGAGAACTGCAACAAAATTGCCAGTAGGGCCCAGGTGGGTGTGGCTCAGCGATTGAGCATCCACCCAGGACCAAAGACCTCACTGATTTGATTCCCCGTCAGGGCGCATGCTGGGGTTGTGGGTTCGGTCCCCAGTAGGGGGCTTGCAGGAGGCACCCACTCCATGATTCTCTCTCATCAATGGATGTTTCTATCGCTCTCTCCTTCTCCCCTCCTCTCTGATATCATAAAAGATTTATTTAAAAATATATATTAGGTACCAAATTTTCCTGGTCAAGACGGTTCTGGACACGGAAGTTGTCCAGAAAGCAAACAAACAAAAAAGACATCGCTTTCAGACTTGCCAGCACTATGGCAGATTAAGACGGACACATACTGTGTCCTCTGAGGAATACTGTGTCATCTACCCATCCATCCAGCCATCCATCCGGCCAGCCATCCGTCCATCCGTCCATCCAGCCATCCAGCCATCCAGCCATCCATCCATCCATCCATCCATCCATCCAGCCGTCCATCCAGCCATCCATCCGTCCAGCCATCCGTCCATCCAGCCACTGATGGTTCACACGTGAGAGGCAGTGAGCCCCGGCTGAGCCCCGGGAGGGTGGGCGTTTGTGGCGGTTCGCACCGCGAGGGGGACGTGAGCGGCATCCAGCAGACGGACCTCTGGGCACTGCGGCCCCGTGGGCACAGGAGCTGCCACTGCCCTTCACCTGGGGGGGCGGCTGCTTCCCTCCCA